GCTGGAGGCCAGCCTGAGCAAGAGCGAGACCCCGTCTCTACTAAAAAAAAAAAAAAATAGAAAGAAATGAATCGGCCAACTAAAAAAATAAATAGAAAAAACGAGCCGGGCGTGGAGGCGCACGCCTGTCGTCCCAGCTACTCGGGAGGGAGGCCGAGGCAGGAGGATCACTCAAGGCCACGTGTCCGAGGCCAGCCTTATGAGCAAGAGCGAGACCCCGTCTCTACTAAAAAAAAAAAAAATAGAAAGAAATTAATCGGCCAACTAAAAAAATATATAGAAAAATGAGCCGGCCACGGAGCCTCACACCTGTCATCCCAGCACTCTGGGAGGCTGAGGCGGGAGGATCGCTCAAGGCCAGGAGTTCGAGGCCAGCCTGAGCAAGAGCGAGACCCCGTCTCTACTAATAATTAGAAACGAAGAAAGAAATTAGACAACTAAAAAATACAGGAAAAAAAAAAACGAGCCGGGCGTGGTGGCGCGTGCCTGTCATCCCAGCACTCTGGGAGGAGGCCCAGGTGGGAGGATCGCTCGAGGCCACGAGTCCGAGGCCAGCCTGAGCAAGAGCGAGACCCCGTCTCTACTGAAAAAAAAAATATATATATATACATAAAGAAATTAATTGGCCAACTAAAAAAAAAAAAATACATAGAAAAAACGAGCCGGGCGCGGTGGCTCACGCCTGTCGTCCCAGCTCCTCCCCAGGGAGGCCGGGGCGGGAGGCCCGCTGGAGGCCGGGCGTCGGAGGCTGCCGTGCGCTCACTGCAGCCCGGGCGACGTGGCGAGACCCTGCGCCGCCCAGGGGCGCGAGGGAGGGATTCCCGGGAGCGCCGGCCCATGGCGTCGCCCCGTTGCAGGCGGAAGCAGGGGCTCGGGGCGCCCGCTCACGTGCAGCCGGCCGCGGAGCTCCCTGTCGTTGCGCATCTTCACGTAGATCCGCTCGTCCAGGCTGAGCCGGATGAGGTCCAGGGGCTCCTCCACCGTGTTGGTGGTTTGTTGCTGGGGAGAGAGAGAGAGAGAGAACCGGCCTCGAGGTCAGGAGTTCGAAACCAGCCCGCGTGGCGGCCGGCGAGGCCCTCGGCCTCTCCGTGCCTCCCGGGCACCCCCGGGATCGCCGCTGTGCTGCTTTTTCTCTTTTGTTTTTGCTTCCATCCTAATGTCCAAACTGCCTCTGACTCAATTTCGGGACGCGGGGGACCTCGGCCTCATCTCCAATCTATCATCTCAAAAGGTTTCGAGGGCAGTCGGGGACTCGGCCCGCCGGGCTGCCTCCAACCGGCCTGACTGAGGACGAGCCCGTTCAGGCCGGGCGCACGCCTGTCGTCCCGGCACTCTGGGAGGAGGCCGGGGAGGGAGGACCGCTGCTCGGTCGAGGCCAGGAGTTCGAGGCCGGCCTCGTGAGCAAGAGCGAGACCCCGTCTCTACTAAAAAAAAAAATAAAAATAGAAATTAATCTGACAGCTAAAAATAGATAGAAAAAAATGAGGCGGGCGCGGAGGCTCACGCTTGCCGTCCCAGCACTCTGGGAGGCCGAGGAGGGAGGATCGCTCGCTTCAGGTCAGGAGTTGGAGGCCAGCCTGAGCAAGAGTGAGACCCCGTCTCTACTAAAAAATTAGAAAGAAATGAGCTGGACAACTAAAAATATATGGAAAAAACGAGCCGGGCGTGGAGGCACATGCCTGTAGTCCCAGCTACTCCAGAGGGAGGCTGAGGCAGGAGGCTCGCTTGAGGCCAGGAGTTGGAGGCTGCTGTGAGAGAGGCCGACTCCACGGCACTCACTCCGGCCCGGGCGACAAAGCAAGACCCTGTGTCAAAAAAAAAAAAAAAAAGAAAGAAACAAATGCAGATAAAGGTAAAACTCTGTTAAAAAAAAGAAAAAAAGCATCAGCCACACACACCGTGTTTCCCCGAAAACCAGACCTCCTTATAAAAAATAAACCCTAGCAGGACTTCTTCTTCTTCTTCTTATTTTTATTTTTTTAAAGCCAGACAGGCCGGGCGCGGAGGCTCTCGCCTGGCATCCCAGCACTCTGGGAGGAGGCCGAGGCGGGAGGCTCGGTGGAGGCCGGGAGTTCGAAACCAGCCTGAGCAAGAGCGAGACCCCGTCTCTACTATAAAATAGAAAGAAATTAATTGAGAAACTAAAAATATATAGAAAAACTGAGCCGGGCGTGGTGGTGCGCGCCTGTCGTCCCAGCTACTCGGGAGGGAGGCCCAGGCGGGAGGCTCGGTGGAGGCCGAGAGTCGGAGGCCGCTGTGGGCGAGGCCGACGCCCCCGCACTCACTCCAGCCCGGGCGACAGAGCGAGACTCAAAAAAAAAAATAAAATAAAATAAAATAAAACAAAACCAGACAATTTTAGCAGCGACCGGGATTTGAACCCGGGCGGGACGCGGGAGCATCCGCGCCGTCAAAGCCCGACCTGGACGCCGCGCCCCTAGCAACGGTCGCCATGGCTACGCAGCAGCGCGGCGTCCCCATGGCGACGCCGCGGGGCGGGGCAGATGGGGAGCCGGCCATTCCCGTCTCGCCCCAGTCTCGCGACAGCTCTGGACACGGGAGAGAGGTCCGGCTCTAAAGGGGAAACAGGAGTCAGGGGTCCGGAGGGCGTGGAATGTTCCAGAAGGTCACGCCTTTGGTTATATTGGTTTCCATGGAGACGGTCGCACCTTACTTAAAAAAAAAAAAAAACAAAAAAAACAGCACGTCCCCTGAAAACCAAGCCCGGGGTTGGGGGTCTTTTTGGGGAGAAATAAATAAAATAACTTGTCTCATTTTGGGGGAGACACGGCGGTTGCCATGGAGACCCGGGGGGGGCGGGGAGAAAAGGTCGCCGGGGCTGGGACAAAATTTGGCGGGAACGCGGCGGGCACGGGGCGGACGGGGCCGAAGAGGCCACGGGGGGAGCCGGGAAGGCGGGATAGCCCTCCGTGGGCCGGGAGGAAGCAGCCCTGCCACGCGGAGCCGGGGCCGGCCGCGGGGAGGCCGCCCCGGGCGCGTTCTTCCCCCTATGCACACTCACCGGGTCGACGTCGTCCGCCATGTTTCAAACCCTGCGCGCCCTTTCTCACCTCTCGCGGGAACACGCACGCGACGCGGCGCTCCGGAAACGTGACGACAAAAAACGCGCCGGAAGTAGAAATTTCCTTTGCCCCCACCCCGCCCTCTTCTTCGTCTTCGCCGTTCCCATTGGACACTGGGGGCTGGAGGCGGAGCTTCCGCCGGCGGTGGGCGGGGCGTGGCGCCAACGCACGCGCGCTAGTGGGCGGCGGCCGCGGCTCCCCGGGCATAACATCCGGCGCGTCACGAGGGGGAAGCGAGGACTTTGGCCCCGGGGCAGCCATGGCTCGGAGGCGCGGGCACAAGTCCGCGGCCCGCGGGGAGAAGCCTGCGGGGCAGAGCGAGGCCGCGCCGGGCCCGGCGGGCGGACGTCGCGGGCGGGCGGCGGCGCCCGGAAGTGGAGGTGAGGGCCGAGCGCCGGTTGCCAAGATACGGCGGGCGAGGGGAGCCGCCCGCTTGGTGCTCCGGGTGGTCCCCGGGCGGCGCCCGCGACTTTGGTTCCGCCCTGCAGCCGCACCTGCACGCAGCCTCTTGTGCATGGCCTCTTCCCGCCTCTCTCCGCCCGGGAGGGTCAGGCCCGGCCTCCCGGTGGAGGCCGAGGGCTGCACGGGCTGGGGACGGGGTCGCAGTGACTTTGGGGACCGGGTCGCAGTGGCCTGCAGAGCCCCAGGCTGGGACCCCCCCCAGGGAATCAGGGCCAGGCGTCTTGCATTTGCCTTGCACCGTGCAAAAGTTTGGGGTTTCCCCCTTTAATCTCCTTTTTCTGTTTTATTTTTTGGAGGCCGAGTCTCCCTGTGTCGCCCGGGCTGGAGTGCATGCAGTGGCGTCGGCCTCGCTCACAGCGGCCTCCGACTCCTGGCCTCCACTCATCCTCCTGCCTCGGCCTCCCTCCCGGGTAGCTGGGACTGCAGGCATGCACCTCCACGCCCGGCTCGTTTTTTTTTTTTCTATATATATTTTAGTTGTCCAGCTCATTTCTTTGCATTTTTTTTTAGTAGAGACGGGGTCTCGCTCTTGCTCAGGCTGGTTTCGAACTCCTGGCCTCGAGCGAGCCTCCTGCCTCGGCCTCCCTTCTGAGTAGCTGGGACAACAGGCGTGAGCCTCCATGCCCGGCTCATTTTTTCTATGTTTTTAGTCATCCAGCTCGTTTCTTTCTATTTTTCAGTAGAGACGGGGGTCTCGCTCTTGCTCAGGCTGGCCTCGAACTCCTGGCCTCGAGCGAGCCTCCTGTCTCAGCCTCCCTTCTGAGTAGCTGGGACTGCAGGCGTGCGCCACCACGCCCGGCTCGTTTTTTTTTTTTTTCTATATATTTTTAGTTGTCCAGCTCATTTCTTTGCATTTTTTTTTAGTAGAGACGGGGTCTCGCTCTTGCTCAGGCTGGCCTCGAACTCTTGACCTCCAGCAATCCTCCCGCCTCGGCCTCCCAGAGTGCTGGGACGACAGGCGTGAGCCACCGCGCCCGGCTCATTTTTTTTTTTTTTTCTGTATATTTTTAGTTGTCCAGCTCATTTCTTTCTATTTTTTTAGTAGAGACGGGGTCTCGCTCTTGCTCAGGCCGGTTTCGAACTCCTGACCTCGAGTGAGCCTCCTGCCTCGGCCTCCCTTCTGAGTAGCTGGGACTACAGGCATGCACCACCACGCCCGGCTCGTTTTTTTTCTCTATATATTTTAGTTGTCCAGCTCATTTCTTTGCATTTTTTTTTAGTAGAGACAGGGTCTCGCTCTTGCCCAGGCTGGTTTCGAACTCCTGACCTCGAGCGATCCTCCCGCCTCGGCCTCCCTTTTGAGTAGCTGGGACTACAGGCGTGAGCCACCACGCCCGGCTCGTTTTTTATATATTTTCAGTCATCCAGCTCATTTCTTTCTATTTTTCAGTAGAGACGGGGTCTCGCTCTTGCTCTTTCTGGCCTCCAACTCCTGACCTCTACCGATCCTCCCTCCTCGGCCTCCCAGAGTGCCGGGATGACAGGCGTGAGCCACCGCGCTCAGACTAATGTTTTTTCCTATATATTTTTACTTGTCCAGAAATTTCTTTCTATTTTTAGTAGAGACACGGGGTCTCGCTCTCGCTCAGGCCTGGCCTCGACCTCCTGACCTCCAGCGATCCTCCCGCCTCGGCCTCCCAGAGTGCCGGGCACATAGCAGAAGTTTTGAGCCGCAGGCTGGTCTCAAATGAGGGCCGAAATGAGGTCGTGGGCAAAACCCAGACACGTTTACGAACTGGAAACGTTTTACGTGAGAGAATTGTAGGATCTCCCCGGAACAAATCTCTAGTCTCGGCAGGGAGTAAACGCGCAGGTCGGGCCGGGCGCGGAGGCCCACGCCTGTCGTCCCGGCACTCCGGGAGGCCGAGGAGGGAGGCTCGCTCGGGGTCAGGAGGTCGAGGCCGGCCTGAGCAAGAGCGAGACCCCGTCTCTGCTAAAAAAAAAAAAAAAAATAGAAATTAATTGGACAGCTAAAAATATACGGAAAAAACGAGCCGGGCGTGGAGGCGCGTGCCTGTCGTCCCAGCTACTCGGGAGGGAGGCCGAGGCGGGAGGCTCGCTGGAGGCCAGGAGTCCGAGGCCGCTGTGAGCGAGGCTGACGCCCCGGCACGAGACTCTTGTCTCAAAAAAAAAAAAAAAACAAAACAAAAAAAAGAGAGGCGGGTGGTTTTTCCCCGGGAACACGGACCCGGCCGCAGAGGGTCGAGGCTGGAGGCTGCCGCCCAAACTCGGGGCGCCCGGGCGGGGGTCGGGGTGCAGGCGGGGTCGGGAGGGAGGTCACGGGGCCCCACCGCGACTCCCGCCCGTCCTGCCGTCCCTCACCTGTGTCTCGGGTCCCCTAGATGCCTCCGAAGACCAGAAGCTCCCGGACAGGAGCCTCCTCCCCGGGCCTCCGCGGGGAGGCAGGAAGAGAGGCCGCGGCCTCGCGGGGGCCTCCGCGGACGGCCCCGCCAGAAAGAGAGTTGCCAGGGCGAAGGCTGAATCCAGGAGCCTCGAGGCCGACATGAAGGAGGAGGCCGAGGAGGAGGAGGAGGCCGTCGGGGATGGCGCGGAGGCCAGGTGAGGAGGCCGGGAAACCCCGCGCCCGACCCTCCTCACCGGGGGCCGGGGCCGTGTCTTCTCTTATTTGTTTTTATTTTATTCTTGGAGACGAGAGTCTGGCTCTGTCGCCCGGGCCGTGGCGTCGGCCTCGCTCACAGCGGCCTCCGACTCCTGGCCTCCAGCGAGCCTCCCGCCTCGGCCTCCCTCCCGAGTAGCTGGGACCACAGGCACGCGCCTCCACGCCCGGCTCGTTTTTTCTATATATATTTTAGTTGTCCAGCTCATTTCTTTCTAATTTTTTTAGTAGAGACGGGGTCTCGCTCTTGCTCAGGCTGGCCTCGACCTCCCGACCTCGAGCGAGCCTCCCTCCTCGGCCTCCCAGAGTGCCGGGACGACAGGCGTGAGCCTCCGCGCCCGGCCCCACGATAATCTCTAGATAACGTCGCGACAGACTCTCGGTAAAGACGAGGAGGAGCCTTTTAAAACCTGTTTAGCTCGGCCAGGCGCGGAGGCTCAGACTTGTCGTCCCGGCACTCTGGGAGGCCGAGGCGGGAGGCTCGCTCGAGGTCAGGAGTTGGAGGCCGGCCTGAGCAAGAGCGAGACCCCGTCTCTACTAAAAATAGAAATTAATCGGCCGACTAAAAATATAGAGAATAAACGAGCCGGGCGTGGAGGCACGTGCCTGTAGTCCCAGCTACTCGGGTGGAGGCTGAGGCAGGAGGATCGCTCGAGGTCAGGAGGTGGAGGCCAGCCTGAGCAAGAGCGAGACCCCGTCTCTACTAAAAAATAGAAATTAATTGGCCAACTAATATTCATAGAAAAAAAAGAGCCGGGCGTGGAGGCTCATGCCTGTCGTCCCAGCTACTCGGGAGGGAGGCTGAGGCAGGAGGCTCGCTGGAGGCCAGGAGTCGGAGGCCGCCGTGAGCGAGGCCGACGCCACGGCGCTCGCCCCGGCCCGGGCGACGGAGCCAGACTCTCGTCTCGAAAATAAAAAAAAGAACAAAGAACAGAAATCGCGTGCAGCCGGAGGCGGTGAGGCCGGGCGGCCTCAGCCTCCCTCCTCGGCCTCCGCTCTTTTACCCAGGGAGTCTCCGGGGGAGCCCGGGGGGACGCGGCCCCCAGAGCGAGGCCCCGCCGCCGCCGCGGACGACGAGGCCAGCGGCCCCGGGGAGGACGAGGAAGACAGCGAGGACGACTGGGAGGAGGTCGAAGGTGAGACGACGCCGGTTTCGGGGTCAGATGTCGCCTGCGGTGGCCCCGTCTCGCTCTGTTGGCTTTTGCGTCATTTACCCTTTTCGTTGTTGTTTTTTTTTTTAAGAGGTTACGGGTCTCTGTCGCCCCGGCTGGAGGGCGGCGGCAGGATCGAGGCTCCCAATCCTGGCCTCGAGCGAGCCTCCCTCCTCGGCCTCCCTCCCGAGGAGCTGGGACGACAGGCGTGCGCCTCCACGCCCGGCTCGTTTTTTTCTATATTTATTAGTTGGCTGATTAATTTCTTTCTATTTTTTTTTTAGTAGAGGCGGGGTCTCGCTCTTGCTCAGGCTGGCCTCCAATTCCTGACCTCCAGCTATTGAGCCTCCAGCCTCAGCCTCCCTCCCGAGGAGCTGGGACCACAGGCCTGCACCTCCACGCCCGGCTCGTTTTTTTTTTTTCCTATTTTTAGTTATTTGGCTGATGTCTTTCTATTTTAGTAGAGACGGAGTCTCGCTCTTGCTCAGGCTGGCCTCCAACTCCTGACCTCAAGCGATCCTCCTGCCTCGGCCTCCCTCCCGAGGAGCTGGGACGACAGGCCTGAGCCTCCACGCCCGGCTCGTGTTTTCTTTCTATTTTTGGGTGTTTGGCTAATTTCTTTCTATTTTTTTTAAGTAGAGACGGGGTCTCGCTGTTGCTCAGGCTGGCCTCTACCTCCTGACCTGGAGCGATCCTCCTGCCTCGGCCTCCCAGAGTGCCAGGACGACAGGCGTGAGCCTCCACGCCCGGCTCGTTTTTTTCTATATTTTTAGTTGGCCGATTAATTTCTTTCTATTTTTTTAGTAGAGACGGGGTCTCGCTCTTGCTCAGGCTGGCCTCCAACTTCTGACCTCCAGCGAATCCTCCCACCTCGGCCTCCCAGAGTGCCGGGACGACACCTTTGCACCCGGGCTGGCTTTTTTTCTTTCTTTTATTTTTTTAAAAAAACTAAGCATCCGCCGAAACAAACCCGCGCACGGATGTCGGCTCTTTGCTAGCGGCGGGTTTGCGCCGGCTTCAACCCAGTCTCCCCGTGCCTCGGTTTCCTTTTCCGACGGCGACTTCTCTGGGCCACCGTGTGGGTTTCGTGTGCCGGAATGACCGGGAGGCACTGAGCTCGGAGGCCGGGAGGTCGCCGGGACTCGGATTGTGTGGCGTGAGCAGGGTGGCCTCCACGGGCTCGGGCCTCACATCCCTGCCTCCCTGCCTCCCTGCCTCCCTCCAGAGCCGGGGTCGCGTTCAGTACCGTGGCTGCCGTCATCCTGGGCCAGGCTGTCGTCCCAGCACTCTGGGAGGCCGAAGCGGGAGGCTGGCTCGAGGTCGGGAGTTGGAGGCCGGCCTCGTGAGCAACAGCGAGACCCCGTCTCTACTTAAAAAAATAGAAAAAATGAGATGGACAACTAAAAATATATAGAAAATATCAGCCAGCCTGTCATCCCGGCACTCTGGGGAGGCCGGGGAGGGAGGATAGCTGGAGGTCGGGAGTTGGAGGCCGGCCTCAGGAGCAAGAGCAAGACCCCGTCTCTACTAAAACCAGAAAGAAATTAATTGTGCAGCTAATATATATAGAGAAAAAATTACCTGGTCATGGAGGCTCACGCCTGTCGTCCCAGCACTCTGGGAGGCCGAGGCGGGAGGCTGGGTCGAGGTCGGGAGTTGGAGGCCAGCCTCATGAGCAAGAGCGAGACCCCGTCTCTACTTAAAAAAATAGAAAAAATGAGATGGACAACTAAAAATATATAGAAAAAATCAGCCAATCTGTCATCCGGGCACTATGGGAGGCCGAGGCGGGAGGATCGCTGGAGGTCGGGAGTTGGAGGCCGGCCTCATGAGCAAGAGCGAGACCCCGTCTCTACTAAAGACAGAAAGAAATTAATTCTGCAGCTAATGTATATAGAGAAAAAATTATCCAGTCATGGAGGCTCACGCCTGTCGTCCTGGCACTCTGGGAGGCCGAGAAAGGAGGCTGGCTCGATGTCGGGAGTTGGAGGCCGGCCTCATGAGCAAGAGCGAGACCCCGTCTCTACTTAAAAAAATAGAAAAAATGAGCTGGACAACTAAAAATATATAGAAAAAATCAGCCAATCTGTCATCCTGGAACTCTGGGAGGCTGGGGAGGGAGGATCACTCGAGGTCGGGAGTTGGAGGCCGGCCTCATGAGCAAGAGCGAGACCCCATCTCTACTTAAAAAAATAGAAAAAATGAGATGGACAACTAAAAATATATAGAAAAAATCAGCCAATCTGTCATCCTGGAACTCTGGGAGGCTGGGGAGGGAGGATCACTCGAGGTCGGGAGTTGGAGGCCGGCCTCATGAGCAAGAGCGAGACCCCCTCTCTAATAAAAACAGAAAGAAATTAATTGTGTAGCTAAAACATAGAGAGAAAAAATTATCCGGTCGTGGAGGCTCACGCCTGTTGTCCCAACACTCTGGGAGGCCGAGGCGGGAGGATCGCTCGAGGTCGGGAGTTGGAGGCCGGCCTCATGAGCAACAGCGAGACCCCGTCTCTACTTAAAAAAATAGAAAAAACGAGATGGACAACTAAAAATATATAGAAAAAATCAGCCAGCCTGTCGTCCCGGCACTCTTGGAGGCCGGGGAGGGAGGCTTGCTCGAGGTCAGGAGTTGGAGGCCAGCCTGAGCAAGAGCGAGACCCCCTCTCTACTAAAAATACAAAGAAATTAATTGTGCAGCTAATATATATAGAGAAAAAATTACACGGTCATGGAGGCCCACGCCTGTCGTCCCAGCACTCTGGGAGGCCGAGGCGGGAGGCTGGCTCGAGGTCGGGAGTTGGAGGCCAGCCTCATGAGCAACAGCGAGACCCCGTCTCTACTTAAAAAAATAGAAAAAATGAGATGGACAACTAAAAACATATGTAGAAAATCAGCCAGCCTGTCATCCCAGCACTCTTGGAGGCCAGGGAGGGAGGATCGCTCGGGGTCAGGAGTTGGAGGCCAGCCTCATGAGCAACAGCGAGACCCCGTCTCTACTTAAAAAAATACAAAAAGTGAGATGGACAACTAAAAATATATAGAAAAAATCAGCCAATCTGTCATCCCGGCACTCTGGGGAGGCCGAGGCGGGAGGATCGCTGGAGGTCGGGAGTTGGAGGCCGGCCTCATGAGCAAAAGCGAGACCCTGTCTTTATTAAAAACAGAAAGAAATTAATTGTCTAGCTAATATATATAGAGAAAAAATTACCCGGTCATGGAGGCTCACGCCTGTCGTCCCAGCACTCTGGGAGGCCGAGGCGGGAGGCTGGCTCGAGGTCGGGAGTTGGAGGCCGGTCTCATGAGCAAGAGCGAGACCCCGTCTCTACTTAAAAAAATACAAAAAATGAGATGGACAACTAAAAATATATAGAAAATATCAGCCAATCTGTCATCCCGGCACTCTGGGGAGGCCGAGGCGGGAGGTTCGCTCGAGGTCAGGAGTTGGAGGCCGGCCTCATGAGCAAGAGCGAGACCCCGTCTCTACTAAAGACAGAAAGAAATTAAGTCTGCAGCTAATATACATAGAGAAAAAATTATCTGGTCGCGGAGGCTCACGCCTGTCATCCCGGCACTCTGGGAGGCCGAGGCGGGAGGATCGCTCGAGGTCAGGAGTGGGAGGCCAGCCTCATGAACAACAGCGAGACCCCGTCTCTACTTAAAAAAATAGAAAGAAATGAGCTGGACAACTAAAAACATATAGAAAAAATCAGCCAGTCTGTCATCCGGGCACTCTGGGAGGCCGAGGCGGGAGGCTCGCTGGAGGTCAGGAGTTGGAGGCCGGCCTCATGAGCAAGAGGGAGACCCCGTCTCTACTAAAAATAGAAAGAAATTAGTTGACCAAGTGGAAATATAAAGAGAAAACGAGCCGGGCGTGGTGGCGCACGCCTGTCGTCCCGGCTGCTCGGGAGGGAGGCCGAGGCGGGAGGCCCAGGAGCCGGAGGCCGCCGTGAGCGAGGCCGAGGCCCCGGCGCTCACTCCAGCCCGGGCGGCATTTGGGGCTCCGTCTCCGAAGATAAATTAACACGGGCCGGCGGCTGTCATTGGCAGAGCTGGGGGAGCCGGCGCCGGGAGACGGGGCGCGACCCGCCAGCCCCCCGCGGGCCCTGGAGATCGAGGTCGAGACGCCCCAGCAGGCCAAGGCCCGGGAGAGGAGGTAAGTCGAGGCCCGAGGTCTGGGGTCTGAGGTCTGGGGTCTGGGGTCTGAGGTCTGGGGTCTG